TCTATTCTATTCTATTCTATTCTATTCTATTCTATTCTATTCTAGAGTGGTTGCCTCAATTCCAGCCCAGCATTTTCCCCCTCTCAATGCAAGTCCCATAAAGGAAAAAGCAGAGTTATACTGTTGATTTAGATTAGGGATGCTAGGGAGTTCTTGGAATTGAAGTCCACAAGTCTTAAAGTTACCAAAGTTGGACTCCCTTTATTGAGACCCATTAGTCTGAAGATTTGGGAATACAGGTTGGACTATATGTGAATAGGTGAACTTTTAATAGGACCAGAACTCCATCCCATCCCTGTCCCTTTAACACCTAGCAATAGCCACATTAACTGTGGAATGTTGCATCCATAATTCACACCTACCTCTGTGATCATCATTGTTTATTTCTCTTTTTTTACTTAGCAGATATCCTCTTCACCTCATTTCAGAACATTTACTGGTATTTTTGTGAGGACAGAGCTTTCTAAATATTCAGTGCAGAGCCAATAATCAAGTTTTAGTGGGGAAATAAGGACATGGAAACGCTAAAGAGGGACAAATAATACAATTTCTCCTTTCCTGCAGAGCTCCCAAGACCACAATGCTTGATAAACTATTTTATTTTACTAAATATTTGATAATTGCTTTTCCCTCAGTTCTGCAACTCAGAATGGTCCTATGTGAAAAGTATGCCATTTCATGTCATCGGATTATTTGTTTACTTAGGGATGAGACAGAACTGCTTCATTATGATGGTTCTATAGTAGAGGAAGATTTTGATTCGTGTGTTTGAAGTCCACTTGTTTTAAATCATATTCTAGAAGCATTTTAGTTTTTAACAGCAAAGAAGACTTCCTTTTAAGAAATAGGTTTCTGTTAACAGTTTAGCTTGCACTTTCAAGTTGAGTAAAATGAGTATAATTAGAGAGGATTAGATTTGTTCCATTGGTATGCTATTTTTTTTTTAAAAAAAGGAATATATGTTTATTGAAAAGATTAGTTCTGAGAAAATCACATCTGGCCGAACTACATTGTAAAGTACAGATTAACTACTGTATTTACTGAAGCAGTTTGATTCCATTGCTCGATGCAGAAAAAGAGATCTTAAATTTTTGCACTATAACATGTTTAGAGTCTCTTCTCCACTCTATCAGAAAAGGTGATCTGTTGAAACATAGGAAACAATACAGAAGAAAAGCATACATAAAAATAGAAGCCCACGTCGACAGGCCATATATGGAGTTACTGGGGACTTCAGAGGGATACCCTTTCATTCTTTCTTTCAGCTTTTCTTTTTTGCACCACCCCTTTGGTGAAAACAAATCACTACCGCATTATTTCTCCTTCAATCAAACCTTCACAAAAAAATGCTCCACACGGATAAGCAAAATCTATTCATATTACAGAATGCAGTCCAGGCCACTTCAAACTAATGTTCTTTACACAATTTGAAACGAATTTATCCTATTTATTAACAAGTGGAGCAAAATGCAAAGGATTGCGGTACAGTGCAGCAACAGCAGCTTCTGATGAGTCAAGCTCCCACAGACGCCAGCCTGCCTCCGCCTCCCCCCCCCCGTCCTCTTTTCCTTTCCTCCCATCCCCCCTGCCTCTCAATAGATGTCTATTAAAAGCTGCTGACGTTGGGAGCGACGGCCATCTTTGATGAGGGCACAGCTCCCATTCCATTGAAGAAGGAGATTTGGGGAGGTCAGGAGTGGCTGTTCTTACTTCCCAACTGCAGCAGCACACCCCAGTCTCATAACCCTCCACAGAGGCAACCGAGCAGAACTCATCTGGAGCGAAGGTAAGGGAAAGCAGAGGATGAAAGCCCCCTGCTTGCCTTCGGAAGCTCTTCTAAGGCTAAAGCCGTGGAAGGAAGGGAGAACTATGGCAGGCTGGGAGAAACGGTGATATTTTTCCAACCATATTGTTGTTTCCGATAGAGCAAACGAGAGGGAAGGAGAAGAAAAGAAACATTCATTTCTGTGTCTGATTTGCTGTTATTTTGAAAAGAATCTGGTGGTGCATTCTTTACACGTAAGAGTTCTTCTGCAGTATTTGCCTGGTTTTGTGTCTGCCTGTGTGTAAAAGAGTGAGTGCGTGCGAGGGAGAAAGAAAGATAGGGTTCAACTAAGTGGTTGTGTTTTGCTGGCTGATATCACTTTTCTTCCTCCCGCGTTTTGGTGCAGAATCGGTGTGACTAGGTGTAAAAAGAGGTGGGGAGGGAAAATTGTATGTAGCGGAGGGTTTTCCTGTACGCTGGGCAACATTCTTCGATTACAGATTCCATTTCAGTACCCTGGACAGCGAATACCACTGCTGCGGACTCTGTCGCAACGGCCGCAGAAATCTATCCAAGGCAGAGTGCGCACCTAAAAGCCTCACTGCAGCACCGGGACTTTCATTTCAGCACCTCGGACAGCTAAGGGCCATCCTCATGGGATCCCCCTGCAGGCAAAAGTTGTGATGATGAAGGGAAATCCGACGCCTTGGAGATACTCGCCTTAAAGCAGGGAGACCGGTGACAATGCAAATACTGCAAAATGGTGGGGGGGGAGGGGTGGCGGATGGCAAGGAGGAACGCCGGAGGCAGAAAAGTGGGCAGAAGTTTTATATATGAAGAGGCTGCACTAAAGGGAGCGAGGGAATGGAGACTGGTGCATTAAAATCGCTCGCGATTGCAGCTCATTATTTAGTTTCCCTATGTCCCTTTTTCTGTTTCCACTCCATAGCCACCCTGCCTCACAACACCCGTATTCGTCGCCACGTAGGAAAGATGAAACCTTTCCTGACTTCTCCACTGCAGAGACCTGCTGTGAAGCAGTGGCACGCTTTCCTAGGCTGGGAACCCGTGTTTGTTTTGGAAAGAGGTGTTGCAACTAAACAGTTTGTTGTGGTTAGATTTGATTAAGAGGGAGGTTTCAAAGAAGGGAGATTAAGTCCAAATCTTTTAAATCTATTTTTAAGAGGTAAAAGCGACCGTTAAGAACAGACAAACAAAAATCTTCCATCCTTCCTCTCTTCATGATCCCCAAAGATCACACTGCGAAAGTTCTACTGAGTTTGGCGATCTCTCGTGAGCCCCAGCGATGTGCAATTTTTTTCCTCCAGACGTGTTTCATTCATCTTTCCGTTTTTGCCGCCTACAACGACGTGTCAAACGGCCATTCCTAAATAGCACTGCGATAGGCGAGAACTCTCTTGAATGCGAGGAATGCTAGCCAGGTAGTTTGATCAGTATCGGGAGCGTTTTCAGGTACCTTTTTCGTTTAGCGCATTGATTGGAAAGGTGGCCAACCTTTGGTGCCAGGAAGCACAAAATAATTCGCTCTGTGAGCCTACCATTGTAAAACCCTTTCGCTGAAACGCCTATGGTTCAACCCGTGCTCCTCTAGAGGAAGTGGGGTTTTTCAGAAGTCTCGCCGCCCTCTATTAAGCTGGGGTTATTTTGGAAAGTGTGGAAGGAGCAAGTCGTCCATGTGAAAGTGAACTTCTGGAGAGGCTCATGTAAGAAAAAGAAGGGGGGGAGAAGAAAGGGGAACATTGATGTAGGTTTTCTCCATGCTTCGAAAGCGCTCATCGGGAGCCAGTGCGTCAAGGAAAAAGCTCTGCGCTTTGGAGCTTCAATAATTATTCTGCTGTTTCCTCTCCCCTCCCTTCCCCTCCCCTCCCGGTTGTCTTCAGCTTTGCAAAAGGGGGAGGGGAAAAGAGGAGGAGGAAACCGAGACTGTTGACAAGGGAAGGCAGGAGATACAACGTGTGTTGTTTCCAAGAGGTGGCTCTCGGATGGAGGGCCCCAAGGAGTTCTTTAGCGCCTCTTCGCAAACAACGCGGAAAGAGCGAAGCTGGGGGTGGGGTGGGGTGGGGGAGGGAAGTTGGCGGGGGAGGAGGAGAGAATTCAGGTGGCGTCCATTCACGAGTAAGGCGGGAGAAGCGCGTCAGCTCAACTGACGGATCAGAGCTAGGGTTGATTGTGATCAGCCCTGCAGATCAGGCGGTAAAGCTCCCCTGGCGAAAGGCTTTCTGTTTTTTCGCAGTCATGTTTCCCCGTCTCGCTGCGTCCATCTGCTGTCTTTAAGAGTTGCAGTCGGAAAAGCCACGTTAAGCGTCGAAGCCGATCGGGACTGTTTTAGATGGGATGGATTCATCCTTTCCCGTCCTACGGGCCTCTTCCGTCGCCCCTGTATCCGTTCCAGCTGGACGCCTTTAATCAGGAAACGCAGAATCCCTTTGGGAATTAACCGAAGCTAACATGGATCACTTGCTTCCTGCTGCTTCCGCCTCTTGGTTAATCATCAAGGGGGCGTTATGATTCAGGTTTGCGGCGGCTGCCTAGCCCAGCATAGGCCACGCATGTAGCAAAATCCGAGACGGGCATGGCCTCGCTCCACGTGACTAGCTAAATAGGCCGAGGCAGCTTTCTTATTTTAAATCTTTCCCTGGAAGTGGTGTCATGTTGGAGGAGGGTGACAGGCCGCCTGGTAAAAGCAGCAGGGGTGGGGGCAAGGCAGGGGCCGAGAGCTGTCCAGATACCCTTGGAAATGTTCATGACTTGACCGAAGTCGGGGTCTGCATCCTGCGTGCTGCATAAAGCACCGTTCTTTGACTGCCTCGTGACAGAGGATGGAAAGCAAAATTGTCTAGAGGAACAAGGAACAATCAAGGAATTGGACTTCATAGCAGCGGAAAAAGCGAGGGGGGGGGAGAGAGAAAGAGCGTGCTGGACAATGCAGTGCTTACAGAGGACCTTGGTCTACAGCAACCTTTATCCCCCAGCACCAAATGTCAAGCCACGATCCCATTTCTTTGGGAAATAATGTAGGTGTCTCTGAACAGATGCAAAATGCCCTTCTTGCAACGAGTAATTTTTTTTTAAATCACAGGGGACAGAGTTTAGGCAAAGTCCCATGCAGGATCGAGTCCAAGGAATTAGTAATCGAACCCTTAGCAAGATGGAATGTAGAATGGTCAATAAGAGGAGAAGAGGCACCAGGGAAGGTGATATTTGCGGCCGTACAGAAGCAAACAGACACACGGACATGTGGAGTTGGGGATGATTTCTCCAAAAGAGTCTGAAGGAATTTTCCATTCAAAGCCACCAAGGCAGCATTCCAAAGAGCTGGTTCGTTTGATTACCGAAAACTGCTGCAGGCATTAAGAAGTGATTGGCTGTTTCTTTGGCACAGTGTAGATTAAACCAGTAAATTATTTCAAGAGTGCAGGTGGAAGAATCTCAGGGTTCCCTTCCAGACATTGGAGATAAAATAAAGAAGGAGAAAACCACCATCCTGCAATCAGCATATGATGGAACTCCACCCTGGCTGAAGACAATGACAAATCTCTTACTGTTAGTAAGAACACTGTATGGATGTTTCTATGAGGCCATCAGGGCTGGATTCTGTGTGAAGGAGACTTTACCTTTTACAGGACAATATAGCTTAATTCAGGTTTTCTCCCCACTAGTGACATTGTCCTGGTTTTTTCTTCCAGAAGCCAGGAGAGTCCACAAAGAACTGTGTTTGAATAGGAATGAGATTCTCTCTTTGTTTATCCCTTCAAATGAATGTTACTAAAGATGTAAACCAAGAACTTCAGTAAAATAAACAGGCAGCTAAAAATTGAATGTTGTATCTTGTGTATGCATGCAGAGCCTCTTATCCTCCCATCAGCAACAACTCTGATGTAAACAAAAGTCTACCCAAAGCTGGACTTGTAAGCCTTTCTAGTTCTCTCTTGGGCTGTACCCTATTGCTTTTAATTAAAAGCCATCTGAATATAGTATACTCATGGCTGTTAACGTAGCCAGAATGCCCCATTCAGTACTTGTGTGCGCCTGTGAGACCGTTTCCTTTATTCGTATGGATTGGGTGTGAATGCCATTCCTTATGTAACCAAAACAGGCAGCTTCTCCAACCAGATAGTAGGGATGAGCAGAAGGGGTGGGGAGCACGGAGCTTTGCAGGTATCTTCTAGGGAGAAAGCCTATTTAGCTGCTGTAATTTTTAAGGAAAAACACAGGGGGCTGGTTAGAAATGCGTTTTTGCTATGAGTGAAAACAGCGAACAGAATTGCATTCATTATGCAGTCTTTTGTAGAAGGTCCCCTTTAAAGAGCCCCACTGTAAAAACAAAATATCCAAGTTTAACATTTACAATTTTATGTCCCTGTTCCTTTAATGTTTTACTTTGGACTCACTAAACTATTGTTTTTACAAAACGTTACTTACAAAGAAAGGCTATAGTAATGGGAAAGTATCTGTTAACACGTTTGCTGGGAAGTCAGGAATTGAAAATATTACAAGGCAAAGAATTTTGGGAGTGATTTAAAAGTCAAGGAATAACTTTTCAGACTTCTACTCTATTTCAATTCTATCCTTCTTTGAATTATACCTTGCTGTGTGATGCTGTTATTTTCCCAATTCATTTCCAGTCCAAAATAAGCATGCCCAACTCTTAACTAAAGTGTATTGTGAAGCTTTGCTTCTGAACTGGAGTGTAGTGTCACTCTGCCTAAGTGAGGTGGAGTGGCATCATGAGGGGAAGAGATTGATAAAATGTCTGAATTAGCTTAGTGTAGAAATTGTCATCAAAAGGACATGGGTGCCTTATGCTGCAGGATTGGATGTGCAGGGTTTTTATTCAGGATGGACAAGGTAGGGTAAACTGGATTGGAGCTTTAAAAACAGTTAGTCTTGCCCTAAGTAAACACTAATGTTTTGTCCTAGTATCCATTGCTTGTAAATAGGCCCCATTCATTTTTTGGTAGACTTAGGTTTCAATAATTTTCTGCAATGGGATAGTAAAA